CGGAATTGATACCCAGCCCTATATTTCACTTCAAAATAATACAAAAAAATTAAGGTTCTGCCTAAATGTAAGCATAACAATTACTGTGTATAACATTAAATCAATATTTTAGAACTGCAGAATACACACACACACAAATATCTGCATTAAAAATCTCGAAAAAAGCTAATTTGTTCCAGAATAGAATACTATGTGATAGGAAATGTTTATTATACATCATAATGACAGTATCATATACTTCGAAGACTTCTAAATTATCAATTCTGTCATCAACTTTATCTATCAATTTTACTGAAAAACCTGTTGTACACAATCCACTACATGCCTTCTATCACCTAATTATACTTCTGTCTAGTTTATACTTCTAGAAAGTAAAAATCCTCTAAGTATAATTCTAAAAATGTCCACCATCAAGTTGTGGTACACTTTTTTACAGTGAAGTCTTAAATATTTTTATATATTAAATGTAAGAATGACTTTTATAATGTCAGTCATATGCCAGTTATGTGCTGAAGAAAACATGACTCAATATAATTGCTAGTTGCAGCCCTAGACCAACAACAACAACGTCTGTACATAAACTGAGTGTGTAAAATCTACCTTTTCCAGAGCTGTTGCTGACTGCTTTGGCCTGGGACTGGGAGCATCCTCCATATCCTCCTTTCCCGTAATCTCCTCCAGCATGAGCCTGGGACAACTCATCAAAGCCTTAGGAGACAATAAGAGATTTAAAATAAGGAAGTCCATTTTACAGCCCCAATGATTAACATTTTAGGACCCTCAAAATCCTACCCCCTCACTTCTGAAATGATGGCTACGCCCCTGGGCACAACCACCCTACAGTGATAAAAATCCATTCACTCCTTTTTTTAATCCCCAAAAAACCTATAGAGTCTCAATTATCAAGCAGTTTTGATTAGGCTCCGCCCACAGCTGCTGACGGACTGTCCCGTATTAGCATATTCCGCCCACAGCTGCTGACGGACTGTCCCGTATTAGCATATTCCGCCCTCAGCTAGCTGTACACTGTCTGGCATTTTATCAGTTGTAGTAACGACAACGTCTCGTATTATTAAGTCTCACGAGTCTGCAGCTAAAGTGACGAAGTGAAGCTGACACGCAGTGTGAAACAGAGCCGCTGAAGACGCAGTGGATTAATTTTGAGGGGTGGAGTAAGCAGTAGCTCATTATCATTTAAAGAGACATGCACCGAAATGGGTCGCTGTGTACAAAGCTGTTTTTGACGAAGTAAAAATGGTGTTGTTTTACACTACCTTTGAGGAATTTTAACCAAAGTATGTTACAGACATTTCATGAAGACCCTAAAGAATCATCCCAACTTGTAGAAAATGGGCATCCGATGTCCCCTATAAGTATTATTGGGTGATATAGTGACAACTGATATTTATATGCATTTTAAGTAGTGTGTTATTTCATATGTCAGGCTTCCCAGGGTTAAAACCTCAGTTCAGTAGCCTGTAACACTTACCTGGGCCATACGTGTGCTGGCTGTATCCGGCCTGGTGTTGGTACTGGCTGGACAGGCCCATGCTGTGCTGCTTTGTGGATGCTGGAGGCATGAAGACAGTGGGGCCGTACTGGAAGGCACTGGGCATTCCTGGCACCCCAGGGTAGTAGGGCAGGCTGGTGTAGCCGTAACCTGGAGGCAGAGGGGGATTGAGGAAGGCCTGGGTCTGACCCTGCTGGGCTTGACCTGGGTTCTGTGGCCCTTGATTTTGAGGGGGGACAGCACTCTGTTGAGACTGTGAGGGGGGCACTGAGGAGAGACTGGTGGCAGGGGCTGGGGAGTTTGAGTCGCTGCGGCCAAATTTGGTAGGCTCACCTGTACGAGCAAGTCAAGACAGAAGAGTCTTTTAGACTGAACAAGTACTGGATTGTAATAACTCTTGTCCTTTTTGCACTAGCATAACCATGTTTGTGCTTTAAAAACAACAACAACCAGGGCTCGACAATAAGGACTGCCCGGTGTCCCGGGGCCAGCGTGAAAGACGCCTGGGGCAGTTGACAAATTTGATCGGGCCACTGCTGCGTCATCACGAAAATATATCATTTGCACGTGTTTTTAAGCCTTGCTAATTTTAAAATTCAAGCGATTTTAAAGCATTCAAGCAAGATGTGAAAGACAATTGCATTCAGTACTCGCACAGTGTTCTGTGTGTACAGCGCGCACACAGAGAGACGCGTGTCTCTGACAATGTGCAAGACCCGAATTGTGTTTCTTTCCTCACCTTCTTGCGCTTGAACAGACAAATACATACAAAAAGTATGTCAAAATATCAGTCTTTGTGAGTAACTTTGTAGCTTTATCAATGATTAATCTAGATTTCATTTATACAGTGGAGCGCCGGTCGACTGACCTTTTTTTTTATTTTTATTTTTATCTCAATTGATCTCTGTTCCAGGCTTGCACACAAACTGCAATCATTGCACTGCAATCATTTTCCAAAAAATCATTTGTGTGGAAATATTACAAAGTGTGTACACAGCCGTTAACAGAGGCCAGAGACACTGAAGGTGAACGCAAAGAGGAGAAAATACTGTAGCAGGCAGAGCAAGATCACCGTTCACAACGTGCAAAATATTGGAAGAAAATACTAAATGTTGAATTGGGGGTTTATATTAATGTATCTCTGAGGGGAACTGACTGTTTTCAGAAAAGTTTACATTGCATTTTCTTTTCATCTTGCCCCTGTATAATGCATTTAAAGTGGTGCTGCTTTGTTTACAGTGGTAACCAAGGAAAAGCTGTGCTGCTCTTCCATAAGCGCCACCTGCTGTCAGAGCATGAATTTGCGTCTCATTCAGCCCGTCTGCTGATTGTCCTAAAGCATCATTTCATTTGTATCTTTGTTCTATATATTCAGTTGTGCTATTGCATGTAATTTGTTCATTTGTTCTTATTTATTGACTGTTCACTTGTCTTTAATAATGTTTGAACTATATTTGTCAGGCTAGTAGTTTTGGCTGTGGTATTGAAATTAGAATCGAGAATTGTAAAATTTAATTAGTATCTAAAATGTAGGTGTTATATAAGCTTATTTATTAGAATAAAAGATAACTATTTTATTTTTCTGTGGCAGGGCCAGTGAAAATGTTGGCAGAGCCAGTAAAAATTTGCACCACTGATCTAACTGGGCCAGTAGAAAAAATCCTTAGCACTGAGCCCTAAACGATGGCTGCTTACCTGAGTAGGGATTGTTTGCTAATCCTCCATCTCTGCCAGCTAGTGCTGTGCCAGGGAAAGTCATGCCATAATAATCCTACATAGAGAAGTGACAAAAAATTTTTTTTAATTTAATCTATGAGAAATAAACATCAAGGAACAGGTCATCCAATAATAAAAATTAACATAATTTAGTCAATTTATCATATTAACACCACAGTAAAAGCTCCTCCCCATGAACTCATCTCTGCATGTTCTTGAGTTTGAGTTGAACATGCATTAGGGACAATATGTGCCAACATCTTTCCGTAATTATAATGAAAAGCACTTTAAAAAAAGTTGCTGTCAACCAGAGAAGCTTTAACGGCTTGCTGCGGGTTTCCGCCATAAAAGCTTGGTTTAATGTCGAAAATCAATAGACAATTGTACAGCTGTACTGTAAAAAATATATATTTTCTTAAACACTCTATTTTTTTATACTGTGAAATATCTGAATAGTTAGTATTACAATATTAATATTTCTTATTGTTTTATTTAGCACTACAACTAATATTAATACAAATTATTTTAGTCATATTGATATAAATCACAATTTTTGTCCAAATTATGCAGCACAAACAAGCACAGCGAACTTGGAGCTTAAAAAAAAAAATTAGAAAAGCAGCAATTATTAGAGATGCACCGATTGCAATTTTCTTGGCCGATTCTGATTTGTGTGACCTGCCGATATCGATTTTTGCCAAAAACGATATGCAATTTTCTAAAAACTATAACTGACAGCATATACAAACAAAAAACTACTTTTTTTTTTTTCAATACTAAAAAATTATTTACATAAGAGAAGTTAAACATTACAATTCCCCTAATCTGGACAAAAATTACAGATATTCTCTCACGTAAACAACTCTCAAAATAAAGTGCTCTGTGACTGGAAAGAGGTAGAAATGAGTTGCTGTATATAACAAAACCGAAGTCATTTCCCATTGTTTATAAATGGGCATTTTTTCCCTAGCCTTATTAAATGTGTGTCATCTTTCACATCAAATTCTTATATCGTTTCACTTAATTCTGTTAGAATAATAAGAATGTGGAGTTGTTACCATTTAAATGAAATCAGTATCAACATACTCCATCTTTTTTAACTGCAGGAAACACAGTAGCTGCATCTGAAGCGCCATAAGATGTATTTACACAGACTGTTTGATAAAGCTGAGGTGCCATAAATGCATTTACACTGCAAAATTGCAAATGCATAAATAATGAGTTTTAATAAGTGAGTCACTGATCCAACCAATTATATCAAACGGCTGAATCATTCAGAAACGAGGCAAGTGACTGTCTTTATGAATGGGTTACTGAATCATTGACTCACTCGATTCGTTCAAAACTGTGGATTCATTCAGTAACGAAACACTGCTGTGTTGCTAGTGGACAGTTCTGCTGTGGCTTTGATTGGAACTATTTTCATTTGTGAAATTGAGCAAAAACAGTAAATATTGTGTCTAAAATGTAAGTCACTAAATTTGAACTTCTTGTTTATTGAACTACTATTGTATAAAATCAGTGTCACATTGCAGTCATGCTGATATTCGGAGAAAAATTTTTTTGGTGGCCAAGTTTCAGTGCTTCCCTAGTTATGTTTGTTATTGAAATTTTAATAAGGCTTCTTGTCCGGTCGGGCAAGTAAAATTCTCTCTCACTTGCCCCTTTAAAAATGTACTTGTCCTGGACAAGCATTAATCGAGCCCTGTGGTTCCCCCCCAGTTTACTTCGGCTCTACACGTATTACAAATTGCAAACTGTGTGTCGTCTTCACTTACAGTGAAGAACTTCCAAGCCGACGACATGTTTACATGCGGATGTGAGTGTAGCTGTGACGTCAAAATGGACTGGCTAGGAATCAGCAAGATGTGACACTGACTGACCGGTCACCGGTCCAGGGCGATCATGCGAAAAATCAGCTGATTCCAGTCCCTGGCCTGTCGATGGATGCATCTCTAGCAATTATTTTTATTCCCCAAAATGTGCAGCCCTACTGAGTAGAGGTCTGCTACCCGACCCGAGCCCGACGAGTCCCGAAATACTTTCGGGTTGGGTTTGGGGTAATGTTTAATGAATAGCTTCGGGTTGGGCTCGGGTTTATAGCTAAACAAACTATATGCAGTAGGCTACGCTGCTTTCATAGACGCACGCACACACACATTATTGCACACGACAACACAGCACGGAAACTTTTATTAGTAAAATAGCTTCGACAGGCTACTGACTTGCAACGTTATATTTCTCTGCAATGAGGGGGTAAAATCGCTGTTTTTGAAGTAACTAAGCCTCATTGCTTGTAGAGAGAGATGCGCAGACACAGGTTCACACGCAACTTTCATCCCTCTCTCTCTTTCTCTCGCTAATTCAAATAAATGATATAATTAATTAATTCAAATAAATGTGATCTTACCGCACTGCATCTCTGGGTCTGATTTAAAGCAGGCCGAATGCTAACGAGCCTTAACTGACGAAAATGACCATAATTTGCACGATGGAAGAATTATTGTCTTGTCGTAGAATGCTAACGAGCCTTAACTGACGAAAATGACCATAATTTGCACGATGGAAGAATTATCGTCTTGTCGTATACAACCATTCAAAAACTCGGCAGAATTTATGTGACCGCTGCACCTGATGTTCATAAACTTTCATAACTGGTAAGTGTTTTTTCTTTTTCCTTGTGGACTGGTCGAGCCTCAATGATTCTCTTTCTTTACATGTATTTGTTTACTGACCGTTGCATGCAATCGTGAAATACAGCATTTTTTAAAAATTGGCTATTCGTTGTGGGGGGAAAAAAAAAGATATCAAGTTCGGGTCGGGGCTTTAAATTTAACTGTGACGCTCGGGTCAGGTTGGGTCGGGTCAGACGATCTCGGGTTCGGGCTTCAGTTTAAAGCCCGTGCAGACCTCTATTACTGAGTAGAAATTATTTTGGGGTAAATTTTATTAATAGGAGGATATTAATAGGAGGAAGTGCTTTGTCAAAAGAGTGTGAAAACAAGCATTGACTATGAAATGGTTACCATGGGCAGGCGGGACTGCATCATCTGTAGGTCCTCATATCCGTAGATTGGCTTTAGGGATGAGAAGGCACAGAAAGATCAGAAACGTGTACAAGACAGGTCAGTACCATCACTGAGATGCAAGTGAGATGACACTTCAGCAAAGGATAAAGATAAAGTGAGAGAGTGTATATATAAAAATTTTGCTTCCTCTATCTGAGAGCAGATCAGCCATACACTAACCGGGTAAGCAGGAAGGAGGCCACCAGGACCCATGATATACTGACTGGCCAGCAGCGGCGGCACTCCTTGAGCCAGGTTAGGAGGAGCTTTACCTGAAGATATAGAAAAAAAAAATTGGAAACAAGAAAAAACTATTTACAGATTGACATAACATTTAGTTTATACATTTACTTTTTAATAATAAATAATAATCATACAAATATTGCCAACTCTGCTGCATCACTATAATCATGTTGAAGTTTTTGTGACTGACCAGAAGTGTTGGAGGGTGTGATGTTGGTCTGCAGTGGTGCAGAACGGACAGCAGAGGGAGCGGATGCGCCGTTAGCGTTGAGACTTTGGTTTCCAGCGCTCAGGCCATTTGAGCTGACCGTCGAGCTGGACACACTCGACACAGCGCCAGAGTACGTGGACAGGCTCACATTCACATCAGTGCCCATCTGCGTCTAAAAGAAGCATTTCAATTCAATTTAACACTGATCCAGTCACACTTTTCGCACCACCACCAGTCCGAAGTTCAGTTAAAATGACTAATATGCTTTATGTTAAGAGTGTACTTTTAGATATTTATAAAACTGTGCCATTATATATATTTATATATATATATATACACATACATATATATAATCAGTCTGGCGAGTAAACTAAAAAATTTAATAGCCAATGGCGATTCAATTGCCAAGGTGTCCGTAGAGGGCTGTAATACAAAAAAACAAGAGAAGCTCATTGCTGAAACCAGGACAAATAAGGCAGAGAAGCTCAGGTAAAGAGGGAAATGCTGGAAATGGGAGGAGCCTCACGAGACACTTACGCTCAGGGAAGAGCTGGTGGGCGCAGAATATCCAGGAGAGTTAATGCTGCTCACGTGACTGAGAAAAACAAGCAATCATAAGACCATAAGGAGACTGACTGCTTCTCATGAATGTTATTCTTCTCTCATGAATATTTAAAGGGGACATCGGATGCCCATTTTCCACAAGTTGGTGTGATTCTTTAGGGTTTTCATGAAATGTCTGCAATATACTTTGGTTAAAATTCCTCAATGGTAGTGTAAAACACTCTTTTTACCTTGTCAAAAGCAGCTCTGTTCACAGTCACCCATTTTTGGTGCATGTCTCTTTAAATGATAATGAATGAGCTACTGCTCACTCACTCTACCCCTCTCTTACATGGGGCGAGTCGACACGAGACGCATGACTTGCTGCCCTGGACTCCGTACATGGCTTGGAGGTGGTCTTATTCAAATAGCTAGCTATCCATGTAGAAACTGGCTGCAAATTGAAACAGCTCGCTGGATGACACATTTTCAGACTCAGACAGCCCATAAACTGGCTGCGTGTTTTCTTTTCAGCTTTTCTGAAATGGCAGACACTCCAGAAACCCAACTAAATGCAAAGAAAAAGCTAAAAAAGTGAAAATTTCATCCAATGTCCCCTTTAATGAGATTGAAATTTGAATGGGGTGGTCAGTCATACCTGCTAAGTGATGGAAGAGCTGTGCTGAGGGCAGGCGCTGCTGTTGAAGAGGAGGAAGATGACAGTGATGAAGATGACAAGCTATTCTCTGTGGGCAGGGCTGTGGATATGGGCTGAGGGGTGCTGGACGGAGCAGCTGCAAATATTTTCGGTCAAAAATGTCAATTGTGGCCCTATGCTACAAATTTAACTAGCAAAGAAAGTACAGGTAAAAATGGAGAATCTGGTAATGCAGAACTCAATTACCTTCCTGTACGCTGGATATCCTCATTTCACTGAATCCATTCTGTGGGAAATGAAAAATAGATATATGAAGACCATCAAAATAGTTTACATGGTTCCACCCAAAAATGAAATTTGGGTGAACTATCCCTTTTAATACACTTATCAGAGCATTTGCTTTGTTTTGCTGATTTTTTTTTACACCAGAATGGGGTATGTAAGGGCTGTCCTTAAAGTATCCAGCTAGCTAATGTGAAAAATACGAGATGAGAGATGCAATACGATGAAAACGGCTGGAGCTTTAGGCAACTGGTGATTGGCAGCTTCATCACGACAATGATCAGTCCAGATTTGGCACCTTTGGCACCCTAAAATCAATGACTGAGGCGTCACTGTCCTATGTACAGTGTTTCCTGTATCTCGTATCTTCTTCAATAATCTCTACTTTTTATATTACATGGCTGGATACTTTCCGGACAGCCCTTGTATGTCAAACATCACCTCACCAAACTGGAAAACAGATCTCATCGTGTCTGCTTGTGAGAGTGTGTTAGCAGTAGTATAAACTGATAATCCCTATTCCGTTCATTTGATTAGAATAAAAGTAACTTTTTGGTTTCTAATTCTATTCTGCTTGAAAACAGGGGTCTGATTCATGTGGACTCAATGGTACAACTGGTTTGACCAATGAAACACTACAACTAAAACATTCTTGATAACTGGATTTTAATTTCGTTCAAATTCAGAGCAATTCACTAATGAATCATTAAGTTCAGTTTTTGGTTTAACTAACAGTTTTATTTTAGTAACACTGAGATACTACTATAGTTTTTATTAATATTTTGACTCAGTATTTTTATTTTTACATTTCCTGTTTTCATTTTAATTTTAACGTTTTAGTGATTTTGTTGTTTGTCATTTTTAGTAGTTTTTGTTTTTTATATCTATACAGTTTTTATTCATTTTTATTTCAGTTTGAGTTATTTTAGTACATCAAGTTAAACAATTAAAATGAGATATGTAGCCTCAGCAACTAGATGAAATAAAAAGTTTAGATTTTAACTGAGTTATTTCAAATAACGTTTTATATCATTATTGCTCTTCCTGGCATGGAAAACTCAAAGACAAGAAATATCAAATTTCTAGATATTTCCAGGTATTTTCCATAAGCATAGGAATCCTGAATAAAAACAGTTCAGTTCTGGATTCTGGATGGTCTGGACCAAGCTAATCTAATTAAGGTGCAGGCGAAAAGGGCCAGCGTTAAGAGCTTAGGGATGCATGAAGCACCGCTCACACAGAAATCACTTTCAAAGCAAGCAGCTTTCTGTCGGTGAAAGCTGCGAACTTAAACATGAGCAAAATCTGCATGAGGAACTGATTGTGAAGATTCCAGATGAAATGCCTTATTTTGCCTGTGAAATTTTGCCAAGCTATGGTAAATGTGATGAAAAGAATTTTGGTCATACACCGAGAGGGGTGGTGGCCGATGACTCCACTCTGCTAGCTGAGGATGAAGCCAAGACAGGAGGGACAGTAGTGCTCGGTAAACCAAGAGAGGCTGATGGGTAACTGGACTCCATTACTGCTGGAGGCAAGCCACCTAAAGACTCGCTAAAACAAGAAAAATTTGATTAGAAATGCATTAAAGTCATTTGTTTATGGAATGATCTGGGTTTTATCAACAGCATTTGTGCCAATGCTGATTTCAAACAAACATAATAATGTAATCGATTATACCATATTTACACAAAGTTAAAGGGATATGTTCTTCCCAAAAATTCTGTCATCATTTACTCACCCTCACAAAAATATATATTTTAACTAAAACTTGAGAGATTTCTGTCCCTCCACTGCACAACCTTTAAGTTTTCGAAAAGTTCATAAAGACACTGTAATCCATACAAATTTAGAGGTTTAATCCGAGTCTCCTGAATAATAATGTTTTGGGTGAAATATCCCTTTAAGATCTTGTAAACATGCATAAAAGACAGACAAACAGGTGGACAGTCAGACCTGATGGCGGTGGGTTTGGAGTACAGGCTGCTCTGGGTTAGAGGAGCGCCCACAGGTTCCTGACAGCTACTTTCTGATTGGTTGAGATTCTCCACAGTGGATTCAGATCCAAAATCCAGCGCACCAAACTGCACGTTCAGCCCGGACACGTCAGCAGAGCCTGGCATCTCTACTGCCGAAGAGGGGATCTGGCAAACAAAATGCATAATTACTTGTTCATTAAGATGAAACAGCCATTAGTGGCATTATGTAAATGGAACTCCTTCTTAAATTTTTTACTGAAAACAGTTAACATTTTTACAGTTTAAAATAAAACATGTACAAATTGTGAGATATTGTGATAATTATACAGTAATATTTTTCAATAATTTCAAGTCAAAGCGAACTTTTATTTTGGTGGGTTGTCGTAAAGACCTTTGAGTTTTTGAGTGCATCTGATGATAGTTTTATCAAATGAAATAAAATGCCATTAAAGTGACTCGCAGAGCAGCTCTAGAGATGAATTTTTCCATTTCTATAACTAAATTTGGCAACTCTGTGCTTTTTTTTCTGCACTGCGAAAGTCACAGGGACCTAGGAACATTAGGAGGTACAATGATAATCTTAGCATGGTTTTTCATCAAAAACTTTAATTTAGAAGTAAATGGTCATTTTCTACCCTGAATATTTCACTCCAAGTGTCTGATGTGAGACTTCAATGTAAACACCCACTGCTATGATTGGCTAGCATCTTTGCATATGAAATGAGTGTTACATGTGGAACTCTTGAAAACTCTTGACTATAACAGCCAAACACAGTCATGTCTACTGAGCACACAATGTCCTTATTGCAACATGATTTCTGCAATCTCATACATACTTGTATCATTGCTAACACAGTGAAAACTCTTGTAAATAAAGAGACTCACTGAGCAATGTAAACTGCGTCATTGCTTATAACGGTAGATTTGGAGAAAATGCCGAAATCAAATCACTGACTCGCACTGATCTTGAACTGACTGCTCCAGCAATTATAAAAAGAACAATCTTTGATCGCTTTCTCTATATAAAATAAGCACAGTATAGAAAACAGATGGTTTTCATGCTACTAACAGGAAGTGTGAAGTTGAACATTTAGTCACTGGCTTCACTAATGCATAAACAGCAGTAAACCACTTTGTGACAAAAAACATCTGTACATGAGCCCTTACATATTACACCGATCACAGGTCACAATGCTCATTTCAGATTTTTATATTATATTTCTCAAGGTTAATTTATAAAGTTTGCAAATCTTTTTGAACCAAAAAAAATTTTTTTTTTTTTACCTAACATTAGTATCACTCTTGTGATTGATGCAGACTTGCAAACCTTGGAACAATTTTTTTAAGAACCATCAGTGTGACGGGACGGGACACGGGTTTAGGGGGGTTCATTTATTCCTAGATATCTACATTAATACTTGAAGCTCCTTGATGGCTAATCGTAATTGCACAATGTGCAAAATGCAAGATTAAATGTTAAATATTTTCCCAAGGTTAGCAGGTCTGCACAATATGCAACAATACAGTTAGCCCACGGATCAATACATACCTTGGTTTTTAACCACAGTTTTCAGTTCAGTTCAATTCTGATGGCTTAGCACATCGGAGTATTTTTTTTGCGATTTGCAATTTAAAATGCCATTTAGAAAAAAAACTCCAGTATACTTCTGTACACTGTAGAAAAACATGGATTATCATATGTCTACAAATTGCTTTTGAGAGAAGTATTATTTTTATGGATTGGCCATTATTTAGCACTATAAACATGTAATGTTTCATTCATACTGGATGCCAGAGGGCGACCTCGCGCAGAAAATCCACATATGCATCACAGAAGTAATGGAACTGATGACACTCCAGGAAATCCCTAATATTGACAAAGACATCCAGCTGTCACTGTTTTATCATTCAAAACGTTTCTATCTTCTTTATATTCAATTACAAAGACAAACACTTGACTGCGACAATGTATTGTTTATCTTTGTTCAAGCCATTTCGGGTATTTTCATATTAATAATTATGTACATTTATAATCAATTGCTTATCAACATAGCCTTTTTTTTACAGTATAGAATATATTTTCTGCCTCATTCTGTGATAAGAAGCCACATCAGTTGACAAAAGGAAGTTATTTCAAACACTCGACAGATGTGGAGCAAAAACATGTTATAATGTTCTCTTTTGTTGGACGGCAGGTTTAGAAACGCTTCATTACAGCGGAAGATGTTTTGGCATGTGTTGGAACGGACACACACAAACAGAGTCAGCTCGGAGAGAAATAAAACGCACTGAAATTACTTAAAACAGGAAAAAAAAAAAAAAAGTAATGACTACTGTACTGTCCACACTTTAGAAATCAGTCAGATGGCGGGAGTGGAAGGGGAATCGAGTGAGGCCTTCCGCATTTGTCAATCATCCTCGCTTGCTATTTGGGGAATGAACCCAGCGCTCTGATTGGCCAAACTCTTCTTCTTTTGCTCTTGCTTGATTTGAGTACTGCATGTGGACAGAGGCGTAACCAGGCTTTTGCATAGTTTAGAGTGAATTATCATTAGGGTTGGGTATCGATCGTAGTTGATCCGTACGGACCAAGCCCCATGGTTCGGCCGAACCGTGAGATTTGAGATCCGTTGAACCACTAGTATCGATTGGGTTTTTTACGATACCGGTGCCAAATCGATACTTTTACAACGGTACCAGTGCCTAAACGGTGCCTGAACCAATACTTTAAAAAAAAGAGAGACAAAAAAAAAAGGATGGATAACATTAAAGGGCTAGATTTTCGCTGGAGGAAACAGCTGTGGTGTGATGAGGGGTGAATGCAGCGAAAACTTTACTGTAGATGGGAAACCGATTACTCCCTCGTGACCTTTTGTAAACTGTATTTATGACAAATAACTGCACAGATACAGATATAACAATCTATCGATAAACACACACCTTGTGTCCTCTGTTTCTGTTTGAGTCTGCTCGCGCTGCGCCGCCGCAGTCTGCGGATTAAAGAGCGCGCTGAAAGACAGGGAGGAGACGAAGTCTGGCGCCGTTTTCATATCAAATTCAAAGGGGACTGACTCTGAGGCGATCACAAATTTGTGTACAGTTTACGGAGCTAATCGCTATAGCCCCGCTAAAAATGGCCTAGCGACGCCCATGCTTCTTACGACCATTTCGGAGAACCAGGACAAATAGTTCAATCGATCGCTCATGCATTTAAGTGGCACCGAAATGAGGCACAGAAATCTGCGTTCTGATTCGGTTTTAGTACATACCGGTTATATTGGCACCGGGTTTCGGTACCCAACCCTACATATCATACCAGCGTACTTTGAGGTCAAAATGCGTACCTGTTACACAAAATGTGTACAGGCTGGCAGGTCTGTTGATGGGCAGACATGAGCTGTAAAAAACGCAACTCGCTTACTTGCGACGATGTTAGGGGGCATGTTGAGGAGAACAGTGACATCACGATTTCCCCAATTTTAAATCAGGCCATTTCAGAAGGGTAGAAAAAATAATAATTTGAAACTGGGGAGTTAGTTTTGAAGCTTGCAGTGTGTTTTTATTGTAGAGTAACCTCTTTTATGTGTGTAAACTAGACTTGTGCCGGTATTCGGTAATGCGATATATCACGGTAATGAATATGCACGATATTGTTATCGTGGGCACTTCTAAATACCGTGAATAATTATATATTACAAATTATTCCGAATTTTGAATGCATTTTAAGAATACTTTTCCCATAAACTGGTCAAAATGCACAACACCGCTGTATGCTGCGTGAAAGACGCATGCGCACTCTGACATAAACAAGCGCGGACATGAAGCACATGGCGGAACATGTGAGAGACGCTCAGGATGAAAGCACACTTTCACTCTCTGACAGCAGATGGCGCTAAACTGCAGAAATAATAATAATAATAATAATAATAAATTTAAATGCAGCCGTTACCCCGGAAACCCTGTAAACAAAGCAGCTGCACTACTTCCGGTTTCTGAATCGTGTTTAAATGATTTAAACAGCCATTCAGATTTGTGTATTTGCTATGATGTTCATCACAGCGCCAAATACTTAAATATTTAGACTTAATAGGCTATTTATTTTCAAACTTTTTTTTACATTTTAATCTGGACTACAACATGCCCTAGATATTGTTTGAAAGTGTTTTGATTCTTTATTGTTCGGTCACACTTTACATTAGGGCTTCATTAGTTAACATTAGCTTTTGCTCATTGTGAATGTTAATGCATTAACTAAGGTTAACTAATGAGGTCTTATTGTAAAGTGATACCTATTGGTCTTTATAGTTCTTTTGCACTTTAATCTGTGTAAAACTTTTAACTTTGTACATTTTTCTGTATTGCTTTATTGCATTTAAATGTTCAGTTATTTTTGTTATAAGAAAAAAGTTATTAAACTTGTTATACTGTATTATGACAGCACTTTTTTTTAAACTTAATTTCAATATCGTGATAATACCGTATACCGTAATAAAAGCATTAGCAATTAATCGCAACATGAAAATTTGATACCGGCATATCCCTAGTGTAAACTAACATTTTGATTCTCCATTTCATGACCCCTTTAACTACTTTTACGGCTGCCAAATCACATTGCTAATCAATTTTACAACAGAAATCACAGACAAAAAATAAAAGGGGCTATAGGGAACGTTTGTTACCTTAGAGGGAGGGGGTGCTCTCCGTCTCTGTGGTCTGATGTTTCTGGGTTGTGGCGGCTCTGTCGAGGTGACGACAGGCTCACAGTGGGGTTTCAGTGTCGGAGAAGGCCCATCATGTGGGGGAAATGGAGAAGGGTCTCGGGCCTGAGCCGGCAGGTCCGACTGGAGTGCTGCATTTTGATGCTTGGTCAGACGACCGAGGATGGGGGATGGGTCAGGTTGGGCCTTCAGGTCTACTAAAGACAGAAAAAACATATTCCAACATGTGTCAGTCTCTGTTAAAGTGCCCCTATTATGCCATTTTTTGTTTTGGGAGTCTCCTACAATAGGATTACATGCATGCAAGGTCAAAAAACGCTTTAGTTTTCTCAAAATATGCATTTAGTATCATCTCATTTTCCAGCCATTCTCAAACGATTCGTTCGAAGCAGTTCAAAGATTTAGTCTCTAAACCCCTCCTTTCCGTGAGCCTGCTCTGCTCTGATTGGTCAGATGGCCTAGTCTGTTGTGATTGGTCTACGACAGGGATCCTCAAATCTGGCCCACAAGATCCACTTTCCTGCTGAGTTTAGCTCTAACCCCAATCAAACCCACCTGAGCATGCTAATCAATGTCTTCAGGATCATTAGAAAATCACAGGTAGGGGAGTTTGATCAGGGTTGGAGCTAAACTCTGCAGCGCATTGGCCCTCCAGGGAAAGATCTGAGGAACCATGGTCTACGGTGTACAGCGTGTTTCGGAAACAATACGCCTATTTCAATAGTTCTGTATTTTGAACGCTCTATAGAAAATATAAACATCTATTATTTATCATACTTACAGGTTGTGATTCAGTGGAGCAGCTGGTCCAAATAAACAGGATACTGATCCATCTTTCAACAGCAAGCGTTTTGGGAGTCCCGCGTTGAACTCCCCGAGATTAGAGAAGCAGTCGTCAGTAAAATGACGTGTTTGTGGGCGGGGTCAAGTTGTTCGCAGCAGGCCAACGGAGAACATAGGCGCGCATTATGCAAATGTGTTACCCCGTGACGAAGTGGGATTCAAATTACTAATGACTCGTTTCAGCTGTTCAGAGTCGATTCTTTATTTTGGGAGACAATAACTTTATTTATCGTGCACTTGCAGCTTTACAACTTTCCGGATCGTTTACATTCACATACAGCTACATTACACAATGCATGAAAGGCAATATTGGAAATGGCATAATAGGGGCACTTTAAACTTTGGCAGAGAATTTGTGTTCAAAAATGTTAGCGAGTGTGAAGGAAAACCACACTGATTTCAAGACATGATGCAACAGCCAATAACCTCCAGTGCATGTGTACATCATGTAAGAGTACAGGCTGGGCAACTCTAGAGTGTATGCATAGTACTTACGATGAGTTGCTGTAACAGGGGTCTCCTTGGGTTCATTCAGGGTCACAGGTGTAGATTCAAGAGGCACCAGAGCAGTGGTTTCAACATATGCAGTGCCATTGTTCAGGGTCCCTGAAATCTGACTGGACAAAGGGGCAATTCGGGGTGTGCTGATTGGCTCCATTTTCTGTACATCATTCTGGGGAAGCCTGGATCCCAGCATGGACTAGAAGAAAAGCAGAAGGGTTGTCATGACACCAAAATATTAGTATTCAATACCAATCTCGGTAAATTTCAATACTCTCAATAGCAAGTTTGATATCACAGGAAAAACTAATATGTAATTCAACACACTATTTTATCAAGTTTGAGACCTAAGTGTCATCTTGGTAGCAAAGTACAGGTACTTTTGACATTTCTTATTACAAAAAGCATGCAATAAGTAGTACACTATGTAATATGTGATGCACACTATATATTAACTCCGTATGAAGTATTAACAGATTTTGTAGTTTATCACAATTAGCCAATATTGGATATTTATTGGCTAAAATTGAATATTTCACTGTATCCAGAAACTTTAAGATTTATAACATCATAGAACTAATTTAAAGGGACAGTGACAGATTATGTGAATTCTGGTCAAAGATACACTACAGTTTAAAAGTTTGGGGTTGGTATGATTTTTTTAAAAGATAAAATGCTCACCAAGGCTATATTTATTTGATGAAAAATCAAATTAGAGAAATTATTTTCTCTAATTTAAATTACATTGGCGAAATATCATTATTTAAAATAACTTTTTGAATATTCTTTGAATTTTCAGCATCATTACTCCGGTCTTCAGTGTCACATGATCCTTCAGAAATCATTCTAATATGCTGATTTACTGCTGATTTATTATTATTAAGGGACAGTGACAGATTATGTGAATTCTGGTCAAAGATACACTACAGTTTAAAAGTTTGGGGTTGGTATGATTTTTTTAAAAGATAAAATGCTCACCAAGGCTATATTTATTTGATGAAAAATCAAATTAGAGAAATTATTTTCTCTAATTTAAATTACATTGGAGAAATATCATTATTTAAAATAACTTTTTGAATATTCTTTGAATTTTCAGCATCATTACTACGGTCTTCAGTGTCACATGATCCTTCAGAAATCATTCTAATATGCTGATTTACTGCTGATTTATTATTATTAATGTTGTAAACAGTTATGCTACTTAATATTTTTGTGGAAACATGACACTTTTATTAAATTTCATTCTTTAATATAGAAAATTTGAATGGACAGCATTTATTCGAAATCTATTTATAAATTTTTATCACTGCCACTTTTTAGAAATATAGGCTAATACAACTTGTTGAATAAAGGTTCTCATTTCTAAACAAAAGAATTGATCTGACTCAAACTTTTGAACGGTAGTGTACATCGTGTAAATAATTGTTAAACTAAACTAAACAAATAAATAACGAAGTTAAAACTGTTCTAGGGTGGGCAAAGAAAATTTGGCCCTGTAAATCTGTGACCAAGGCAAAGGTGCAGAGTCAAGCGCTGTGGTGCTCAGTGCCAGTATGTGTGCGTTTTTCTCACCGATGCGGCATGGGCATAAGTGCCAGCAGCAGCAGAAGCGTAGCTGTGTGTGTGTGTCCGGGTGGCGTGCTGCTGAGAGTTGGTGAACACCAGGCTCTGGGTGAGAGTGTCAAGGGACGACGGCTCCAATCCGGACAGCTCAGAGTCACCCTCAGCCACCTTAGACAACAGAGAGCCGAGAACCATCCTGAGGAGTAGAGAAAAACTTTCAGACAACTACAAAAGAGGCCACTGCTCTATAATGCAAAACATCAGATTCATTTTTGATGGGGTTCTGCCCTATTGCTTCCACAACATAGGAAGCAGGAAGTGAGGATGTTCCAGGAGCGCACTTGCGTATGTCTGCTAATCGGTTTCTGCTTGTAAGGCTGTTTGCTTTTTTGACTTCAATTGCTAAACATAAGTCATAAATTAACGAGACAGGGAGGGGAATCATACCTGAATGCTTGCCAAATATTTTGGAGCACTCAGGTAGACTAATGTGTCTAAAGTTGCTCTTCAGAACTGCTTGTTGAACATGTAATAGAGCACAGTTTTAGCACTTGCTTACACTACTGACACTATTGGATAACAAAACAAACTGAGTTGAGTTGAATGACACTTTTGTGTACTGTAGAGCTGCTTTATAGCTGAATTGCATTCGTTTATAATTAATGAATGAAGCAGCAAATAAACTGATTCAACACTGAGCTAAATAGCATTATTGCCTTCTCTAGAGCTGTATACAGCTGAATCAAACATGTTTCAGAATTGATGAACTTTACACAGTAACTGAACTGAACTAAACCAACACTATTAAGTTGAATGACACTATTACCTTTTAGAGATGCTTTATAGCAGAATTTAAATTCTTTCATATTTCGTTATGTCATGTCACGCATTCGTTTGTAATTTTTTAGCACCATCTTGTGGCAGTTTGGTGTAACAACAAAGAACATTAATAATTGTTAGCTATTTTCTTAGTGGTTGATTTAGACCATGTGACTCTTGGGTTAGAGGTTAACCAGGAAATAATCGCAGTGTTCCAGATTTTCTCCATGCGGTTGTCCAAGAAGTTCTTTACTCTATTTCCTTTGCGTTTTGTGCCTTGGAAAGGCTTTGCCTTTTTACAAAAAAGAAAAGAATAAGAAATGGAAGAGGAAAGAACCTAACAGTAAAACTTTCAACTTTACTCCTGCGTCTGCCCTTTTTCTGACTTCTGACTGTTAGCTATCTGTCAGTGTTGCGTAGATGGAACACGCATCTAGGACAGAATACGTTAAGTTTTCATCATTTATTTATTCTGTTACTTTCCTATTTATTAGTGTGGACTAGCCAAACCAGGCTCTTTGCCATGTAGTGGTCAAGGCAAATCAAACCAAAGGTCAACATGTTTGGTCAGGAGTTGTGTCATCAGTTACTTACAACTCTTCAAATAAAATTCATATAAAAAGGCACCAAGCCAGCTGATTAGTATAAACAAGTTGTACAAGCAATAACTAATATGTCTGACAGAGTAATAACAAGTAATTCCATTGTAATCCTAGCTGTGCCACTTAAAAGCAAATAAAGAAAACTACTATCAATGTATTACTTCAAAATATAAATAAATGACTTCTCAAATGGCTAAGTAGATTAATTTTGCTAAATAACAATTAATTGCAGTCACTGCAGCAGTGTTAATTTTGACAGCAAATGTTGATTTAGTCTTGATTTCGTCACAGTCTTTTGACTAAAGTCTCTTGTCTAGTTTTAGTCAACTAAATATCATAAGATTTTAGTCGACTAAATCTATGGTAGATTAAGTCAGCTAAAATCTAATGGGTTTAGTTACAGTGCATTTATTAAGCATTACTCTAAAATTTCCAAACTCATTATATAGGTTTAATATTAAGGTTTTATCATGCAATATAGAGACGGATTTAACTGCTGTGACACACAACATGCCTTTATATTAAAATGAAATAAAACCACTTCTCATAAAGAAACAAGAACATGATACTCCTTTCAATGAAATACCAAAGGTTATATATTATTCATTATTTATAACAACTTACCACATTCTTCATTATTTCAAGCAGACATATTTATACAAATAAATTTAGATTAATCCTTATTAGGGCTACAAAAGTCATTCAGTCAAGAGCAGTGAGTGATTTTCTCATTAACATTAACATTAATGACACATACATAGCTAAATTAGGCTGCTGTACCTTTAAAACCGAATGCACAGGTGCATTATACTGATAAACATCCGATATCCTACTGTTTACTTTCACTTAAGACATAACAGAGTGCGTTTACGTGAATACTCGTCAAAACGGACACTTCAACATCATTTTGTGTGTATTTCTCCATTCAAGTGACGCGAAAGAGAACTGAATTCAGTACTCGTGTTGTGTGCTGTCTGAGAGGCGCTTTTCTGTGTGCGTGATTCAGGTGCAGTGTTTCCCCTGCCATTATATTAGGGGGGCGGCCCGCCCCCTCAACGGCACCCCCCGCCCCCCTTGAAGGTCAAGTTAATTTTATTTAATATTTTCTCTATAGCGCCAGATCACAACAGAAGTCATTTAAAGTTACCTTTCCGATAGAACAGGTCTATAACCTTGTTCTTTTATTAAACAAACTAAATAGCCTTATGTTATTTATCTTATTTACACGACGGCATGTCATTTCGGTCTCTACGTTATGGTCGCGCTCTCTGAATCACACACAGCGGCGTTCCACCCCGACACACACACACACACACACACACACACTCACACGTGCGCGCACACACAAGTGAGCATGCTCCCACTCCCACTAGTATTTGTAAATATTAAGCCGCAAAACGACTATTTAAATATGAATTCGTGTCTCTGTGTTAATGAATGTCAGACGTGCGGTTCTGTTTACCACGTGTACTGAAGCGCGCGTGATGCTTGCTGTGATTTTAGCGTCTGCCGTCTCACTAAATGAGGACATAAATACATGAACAACATCTCCAGAACTGCTCTGAGAGTCACTTCATCAGCATTTGACCGTTTCATTTGAGTAAAACTATCCTCAAATCATATACACACAGAAATGTAAAGGTATTCACGGCAACCCGTCAAAATAAAAGTTCGGTTTAACTTGAAGGCATTGCGGCAGAAATATATTACTATTGTAGAATGTAAGTAATAGACTGCTACTACTAAAATGATTAAAACCTTATTTTTAAAGAATAATCATACAATATTTATTCAGTGTTTTAATTGTAATATTAAATGACCTTTATTTTCCAAAAAATAACATTTGTTTAATTTTCATTACTTAAAAAAGATAGATTAAATGAATATTTTATGCCTTAAAAATGTAAATACACAACACAGAATTTCGGAGCAAAAAATCATAAGGCTATTGTAAGAATAAATTAAACTTGTTTTTATGCTTTCAAATAATTAGACATGTTAAAACAGAATTTGGTAGCAATAAAACATTAGGTTGGAAAAAATAAAACATTTCATAGGGCCCTAAACATGTAATTTTTGTTAAACTTTTAATAAATTGATGTTAAATTGTTTAGGTTTCATGATTTTAATTAATTAGACATGCTTTTTGATTAATAAAATTTAATTTAACCATTAAAAAGGAGTCTTATTCTCGGATTTTATTTTCTTATTATCATTTTCGTCTGTGGAAAAATGTCGTTGACAAAAATTATTTGTCAATGAAATTAACACTGCACTGCAGTTAAATATATAAATGAATGTTGAATTAAGTTAAATAAAATTACAAAAAATTTTTTTTTAATTATCAACTTTAACTACTTAAAATTACAAAACACTTTTCTATCAATTAGCAAACAAGTTTAAAAATTGGCTGCTCCCATGTGTGAACTACCCAATGGCATTTATTTTAACTCGATTGACAAATGGCTAAATAAAAGCATCTGGTAAATGACAAAGGCAGTTGACAAATCAAATGAACAAATTTAAAACTTGATATTAAGGTAATATTTTGTTAAATTTAACTTGTTTATTTTTGTCAATTTTAAGTAATAGTAAAATTACTTTTAAAGCTACATTTTGAATGAAATTACTTTTATTTGAATTACTATATTTTTTAATGAAATCAATTTCTTTATTTTTTAGTCGTCCATACATCCGAGCTCTGCGCTAGAAAGTGTTGAAGCACAGGAAGCACTCACCCCTGTCCAGGCTGCACGCAGTTCTTGGAGCCAAGCGCATAAGAAGCAGTGAACACTTTGGTCTCAGATAGCTGATAAATGGAGAAGCGAGCGTTACACACTGACATCTCTTGATCAAGTTTTCCAGTTTCATTTTAACATTCATGAGATCACTCACATCTTCATTCCAGTCTTCGGCCACCCAATCTTCCAGACTGTCCTTCCAGGCTCCTAAAAGCACAGGTGAGTTAAAGATAAAATTATGATTTGCAGTGGGTTATATTAAGAAATTCATAAACGCTGGATAGTGATTATGCTCATTTACATAATCAACTGTGCTTTATGGTTTGAGGATGATCCGCACTACAAAAATCGGATCAGAGGTGAGCATTTCGAGCTCTATACAGAGCTGTATGAAATCGATATTACTAAAAACCGGCTCACCTGACATCGATACCAGACTGAAAATGGCTTCAGATATGATTAAGTGAAAAGTATAGGAGAACCAACTTCTGCCCCATTAAAGAAACAGTGTTCAGGATCCGGATCAATAAACGGCACTCACCTGCTCCTTCAGTAGTCTCATTTCCAGCCTCCCCTGCCTCAGCAGAGCCGGTGTAGTCAGCAGGGTTAAACGTCCTACTGGTCAAAGAGAAGCCAACAGAGGGGGAGTGAGAATAACGATCAAGAAAGAGTTTTTTGGAATGGGCACAGAGATATTTCTCACTGAAGGAGTGTTTGATGGGTTTGGAAAGACAAAAGTGTGAATATTCACCCCATTCCCTGAGAGAGCCTGCTCATTCCAGCTCCTCTGCCTCTTCCTCGGCTTCCTACACCTGAGACAACACACCAGCATAAATAACAATTAGAACAAATGAAAATATAAAGGAAAAGTTCAACCAAAAACAAATATGTATTTACTAGTCCTGATGCCTTTCCAAACCAATATTACTATGCCATTACTCTTTATGGTCAGAACATGACTAACACTTCACGTTCTTGAATTCTTTACACCTTTCCAGGTTATTTTTCCTTAAAATTAATATCTTAATAGAAGGATTAATTTCTTAGTTTCAGCATGTTCTAATGAGTGATAGTTTCAAATAAAGAAACAGGTTTGTGTTGCCTGACTTTGACGCATATCTTCAGCACAGTTTGCAGTGCAGGCTGCAATAATATTAATAATATATTTTTTCGTCTCTTAGAAATGCACATTTGACAGTAGCTTGAGTTGACAGTAGTAGCTTGAGTTAGGATGCAGATGTAAATTTATGTTCATTATCAAAAACAGTAAATCCGTAAAAATTGTAACAACCTCATTTTTATATGGTGAAATTTAATTATTCTGACTGTTTGAGTTTTATTAAAATTAGCCATTGGTCTTCCATAGTAGCATACATTTATATCATGGTAACTACAGTTAAATCCACACAGTAAGCACCTCAATAATACCATGGTAAAGATGTAACTATATGGTTTCTAGGTATTTGTATGAAAAACAGTAGTCTAAATACATTTGGTATAAATGCACAAAAGCTTAGCTTAAATCACAAAAAAAAAATGTATTATATTCCATTACTCCTACATGTCTACATTAATAATATCATTAAATTCGATATGAATATCCCACATTTCTGTGATCTGGGAATGATAGGATCAAAATAGATATAGATTAAGAATCAAAATATTGCCAAAATACACGACTGAGAGCACAAGCCATCATCTTAACTTTACGTGTCCACAATGTCACCCAATTCAGTTGCCAAAACAGAGTAAATTTGCAGAGTTTGAAAAGCGTTTTTACTGGTGCAGAATAAGTGGCTGAGCAGTTGATTTTTCACGTGCTGCTTCTTACCACAGATGGTCTACACCAGAGAACTGTAACCTCCAATATGTAGTTGTCCACAGTAACAACTATTATCATCATGTAGGCCTGGGCGATAAAACGGTATCGATATTTACCGACGGTACACGTTCATCGATAACGATAGAAAAAATGTTCGATATAGATATTTGTTTAATTTTTATTTTGTGTTTGACTGTTAAAACAAACAAAAAATTGTTTGTCTTAATAAATTGGGCAAATGAAAAATACAGTGGTTAAATTTAAAAAAAAAATGTATATTGCTCGGTTTTAAAAAATAATTTAAAAAATGTCAATAATTATCGATACCGAACGATATGAAACATTATATCGTTGATAAATTTTTTAGCTATATCGCCCAGCCCTATTATCATGTGTATGATATTTGGAAATATGTATCATGTGTATGATATATGAGAAACTATTTACCGACGGTACACGTTCATCGATAACGATAGAAAAAATGTTCGATATAGCGCACAATATAGGCACGTGTTATGGGTGATGCAGACAGCACACACGAACGAGAACGCATATTCAGCACATTTTTTAGACGGACAAATATGACTGCTGAACTCGCGTCTCATGCAAGAGATGCAAAGAAAGCCATGCAAAGTTAAAACAGTTTAAATGGTTTGAAAACGCGATGCGAATTTGTGAAGGTTTATTTCATTTCACTGCATCTCATGTTTTTAAATGCAATCTGTGTGATCGGTGATTTGGCTCTCTATTAAGCAATATGAGAAACTTTTAACATCCATGGAAACTCTCCAGTGCACTAAAGATTATTTTTAATGGAAAACTAAAGTTCTTCACAATAATAAAAAGTGTTTTTGTTTTTTGGTTAATTGAAAGGTTCTTTGGTGAACCCAAAATGGTTTTCCTATTGCATTTTGTTGGTTCTACTTTGGAACCTTTATGCTTGATGCAAGTTCTGCTATCTCAGACTGGGCAGGATGGGGCCTGTTCCTGTGTTGCTATTTGTGTCACTCTGAGCAACGTTTGTAGGGCACTAAATGTGACGAATGCGTTGTTTAAAGCAGCTGCAACTCGAGAGGGGAAGATGGTGAGTGAGGGAGCAAGAATGGGGCAGGAAAGAGTCATCGGAAAGGCCTGTCTTCTGTCTCATGTCTCTTAAAGGGTTAGTTCACCCCAAAATGAAAATTCTGTCATTAATTACTCACCCTCATGTCGTTCCAAACCCGTTAAGTTCATCTTCGGAACACAAATCAAGATATTTTTGTTGAAATGTGAGAGCTCTCAGACCCTGCATAGACAGCAACGCAACTGTAAAGTTCCCAGGTCCAGAAACGTAGTAAGGACATCGGTAAAACAGTCCATGTGACATCAGTGGCTCAACTTCAGTTTTGCTACGAGAAGCTACGAGAATACTTTGAGCACAAAGAAAACAAAAATAATTTATTTAACAATTCTTCTCCCCCGAGTTACGTCTTCCGCCATGTTGGAGAGTACCCAAGAGCGTTGTTTACGTTCGGGGGAGAAAGCGCACACATGAACGTAATCTGCGCAATCAGTGTTGTTTACACTTAGGACGAAGATGAACGAAGGTCTTACGGGTTTGGAACGGCATGAGGGTGAGTAATTAATGACAGAATTTTCATTTTTGGGTGAACTATCCCTTTAATATGCACCGATAGTTGATTGCCGGAACTATTGGCTATGGGCAAAAATCCATACCGATAGTTTTTCCGGGTTGCATCCATAGCTGGAGCGGCTGAAGGCTCCGCTGTCATTATACAGTATGAGAACGGTCTCTAGAGGTGAATCACTGACAGCACGTGCTGTTTGTTTTGACACGTGACACTGCGCACTGCACAGGGCGGGACACTTCAGACACTCGGATTTAAAACAGACAGCGAAACGGTGTGTACACAGTATACTATAGTGCATGTTTTCATCTCATTACTAAGTAATTAATTTGTTAATTGGATGCTGCATTAGTGGAGAAAAAACAGCAGTATGGTTGCTGTCAATGCTGAGAGGACACAAACATTAGCAGCACCTCAAGTGTTTAAAACAATGTGACCAAAACACACGCAAATCTGACGCAAACGCTTAATGTCATGATCGTTAACATCTATTTGCATTAGTTTATATCCAGCTGAGCTGGTCACATTAATGCATTTGTTACCCAGCGAAGTTGCAGATTTAAAGCTGTGACGCGTAGGGTTGCGTATCGTTTGAATTTTATCGATTCCGATTCTGCTTATCGATTCTGCTTATCGATTCCTAGTTTAGATTCCAATAAGATAAAATATCCAATATAAAAAAATTAAGTCAAACATTTAGATGTCAAACATTTATTCTGTCTTTTTACAAAGCATTCAGTTGCAGCTGAATAACACGAGCAAAAATCAGCAGCCTACAGAACACTGCAAGAGGAATTTTGCCTACGCTTTAAAAAAAAATACCACAGCAAAAACAACTAGATTACTATAAATTTCAAATATTAAACTGTTAAAGACAAGTAAACAGTCAGTAATAAGATAGGAACAAACAAATCAATTAGCAATATCATAAATAAATACAACTGAACAAAATTTCAGGTACAGAAACCGTAATTAAAAGTTTAAAAACACTGCATAGTTTTCTTTTCATAAATAAAATATAGATTAATCAATTAAAGTTATTAAATATATTCAGTCAAGATCAGTGAACGATTTTCTTTTGTTCTTTGATTAACATTAATGACAGGCAGCACGTTTATTAGGTTGCTGTCTCTTTTAACACCGAACGCACGCAGATCTAAAAATACTGTACATGTGTGTTTTCTTTCTCATCTGTTTACGTTCACGTAAGACAAAAACGGCTGTGTTTATGATGATATACTGACGTAGTTTTCTGCATATTGGTCGACAAATATGAAAGAAGTCAGTTTCGGCCCGGAACAACCTTTTCTACAGTGGAAATACACGGAACGGTTCGAGAACGGACACAAACCGGGAACCCGTACGGCGACCGCTGTTCTCTGTGCTCGCACTTGCGCAAACAGGGCGCAAGTTCTTTCCGTTCCTGCACTTAAATCGCATGCACTTAAATATTTTTTAATCACATTAAAATGCGAACGCAGGAATCGTTAAGCAGAATCGAAATGCACGCGTCTTATCGAATACCCGGTTCTTG